ATGGTCGCATTGCTGTTCGTTGGTTCGTGGAGCGATGCCGGTGCGGCTGTTACTGTTTTTCGTGGTCTCGTTTGTTCTGGAGCGCGTTCGCGTCCGTGGGAGTCCAGCGCGCGCCGCGAGGGATCTCTAGCCCAACCCGCCGCTCGCTGTTTTCTCTCGTGATCTCACGGTCTCGTAGTGTGTTTCATTTCGTCTGTGTTCTGCACTGATTCTTTCTTCGCGTGCATAGATCAGCCTGTTGCGGTGGCAATCGTGTTCGTGTGTGTGTGTTTTGATTCGTTTGCAATAGTTTCGGAAATCTCGGGTAACTCGCTAAGGTTTGTTGAGCCCCAAGGTTTAGGGGTTATGGGTTCAAATTTTCGCCGTTTGTGAGATGACTTCGTCATTATCTGGAGAATTTATGTATTGTCTGAACTGTGCAAACTGACGAAAACAGATGGATGGGAGGACCGCTGGGTCAAGTCCGACTGGAAGAAGGACGACAACACGGCAGGCGAGTGGAACCACACGTCCGGCAAATGGAACGGAGATGCCGACGACAAAGGTGAGAACCGACATCCGTAGGGTCACTGATCGTGTTGGTCTCTGTTCTGTTCGGCATGTTGCTTAAGTGACATCCATTTCTGTTTGTGGGTACAGGAATCCAGACCTCTGAAGACTACAGGTTCTACGCCATTTCAGCGCAGTACCCCGAGTTCAGCAACAAGGACAAGACCCTGGTGCTACAGTTCTCGGTGAAGCACGAGCAGAAGCTTGACTGTGGCGGTGGCTATGTGAAATTGCTTGGGTCTGATGTTGATCAGAAGAAATTTGGTGGTGATACCCCATACAGGTAAAGATTGGTCTCCATCGATTTGTGTATTCAAGCTATAACATCTCTGACTGGTTGATTGAACAAACTTTATCTGTAATTTTCACTTTCAGCATCATGTTTGGGCCGGATATCTGTGGGTATGCCACCAAGAAGGTACATGCTATCCTTACTAAGAACGACAAGAACCATTTGATCAAGAAGGAGGTGCCATGCGAGACAGACCAGCTGACACATGTTTACACCCTGATCGTCCGACCTGATGCCACATACAGCATTCTCATTGATAACGATGAGAAGCAATCTGGCAGCATCTATGATGATTGGGATATTCTTCCTCCAAAGAAGATCAAAGACCCTGAAGCCAAGAAGGTGATGTTTAGAAAATTCTTCCTGTGTTTGCTTAATACTGTAAAATCTTGGTTGTGCTCTTTTCACAGAGGAACTTAATGTAGAATGTAATGGTTGCAGCCAGAAGACTGGGATGATAAGGAATACATTCCTGATCCCGAGGACAAGAAGCCAGAGGTATATACTTTACTAAGCTTGGCATAGTAGTTTGGGTATTCTGTCCACTATGTTCTGTAACTCAGAAAGCTTTAAGTAAAACTATCATTTACTTGTATGACAATATGAGCCTATATTGTAGTATTATAAGCAGCCTTTTACGAGTGATCTTTGTCACTGTTGGTGTCTGACTTAGATTGTTCTTTGCAGGGTTATGATGATATTCCCAAGGAAATTCCTGACCCCGATGCAAAGAAGGTGCATATTTTGCTTATTCCATCGTATTTTTATGACACTTATTCCATAGTATATACACCTCCTGTGATCAGATCATCAGCAGATCCTTGATTTCACATTCTTCAATACCTGTTGCAGCCAGAGGACTGGGATGATGAGGAAGATGGTGAATGGACAGCCCCAACCATTCCTAACCCAGAGTACAAAGGACCATGGAAGCAAAAGGTATGAACATGACTAAGTGGCTTAATTATGCAAGACAAGCTGCAGTGTGTCATGACACATCTGCTGACATGAGTTGATCTTTGTGTTGTCCAGAAAATCAAGAATCCGGACTACAAGGGCAAGTGGAAGGCCCCTTTGATTGACAACCCAGGTATATTTTCCTTTTAATTTTGAGAGAGACAATTTCATTGAGGCTAACCCTGCTTTTGATTTCAGCTTCTATGCTTATTATGAAAGTTAATATGAATTTATTTATTGATGTGTGCAGATTTCAAGGACGATCCATACATCTACGCTTTTGACAGTTTGAAGCACATTGGCATTGAGCTGTGGCAGGTTATTGATTTACTCCATGAACGTAATGACTTTCTTAGTTATCTTGTCCGATGCTCCACTAATTTTCATTCTCTATCATACTAGGTTAAATCAGGAACTTTGTTCGACAACATTTTGATAACTGATGACCCTGAGTACGCCAAGAAGTTAGCAGTGGAGACCTGGGGCAAGCAGAAAGATGTATGCCAACTTGTCTATATGGGGTTACTGTTTTGTACTCTACATTCCTAAGTGCACACAACTAAAATAATGATCTGTTTCAGGCTGAGAAGGCTGCCTTTGACGAGGCTGAGAAAAAGAGTCTTGAGGAGGTGATACACACACTGTCTTTTTGCAATCCCATCCCTGTTCTTTTTTGAGATTCAAGCGTAGCATAGTCCTCTCTTTCAAAACAAAATAAAATTTATCCAGTTCAGTATTAACTCGCAATGTTTCTCTTTGACAGGAATCTGCAAGCAGTAAGGACGACGACGACGACTTAGATGTAGATGTAAGCTTTGGGTTGATTTGTTTGTGCCTAAGTTTCTAGATATATACCATGCCAATCTTTTGTTAACGCCAAATGGCAATTGCTTATGCCTGACAGGAGGATGAGGATGATGCGGACGATGACAAGGCTGATAATACTGATACTGATGAGGCCGAGGACAGCGAAGATACTAAACATGTGCGTTAACACCGTCCCTATACCAACTAGGCTACTCTATTTTTGTTTTTTCACTTCTAACGTTCCTTCCTGTTGATGCTTGTGCAGGATGAGCTCTAGAGCACGCCGAAGTAGAGGACTGCCGTCACATCTTTTTTTTTCCAGTTTCAGTTTCAATCGGAGCTGTTGATGACAGAGTTACCATCCCAAGGGCGTGTGCCGGTCTCGACATAGCGAGTAGTCCATCATCCCTTTGTGACACTACTGAGAAGAAACAAATCCGGCAATTTCCATTTCCCACTGTAGTGTCTATTCCCCTAATGCGGGCGGTAGTCAGACATCGTGAAGCCAAGTTTTCGTCAGTGTTGCGTAGACATTCTTTGCTCGTTGTCTTATATTTTTTGCTAGTTATATTTTTTGCATTTCGTGGTCGAAAAAATGGCCACCGCTTTCTTGTTGGGTATCTACCGTTCCGGCGATTTGTTTTGCTGGTCGTGTTGGGTTAATTCTTGCTGGCCAGCGACAAAAACATGCCTGACCTAATGGAGTCGATATGCTTGTTTGATTCCTTCCAGCGTTTGGCACAACGCCCACGGCGCCGGACGTGACGCACCGGTTGTTTGGTAGAGGACGGGGAAAGTTCTAAACTCGTAATTCTCTTCCTTTCGGCCTAATTTGCTGAGCATATCCTCAACTTTGTAAAATTGACGTCAAACTCCTTCCAAGCACAAGGTGATCAATTTTCAGCATGCAGAGTGAAGAAATGGGCATTGTATTTTGGATTTCAGAGTTACAAAAACTGTAACAGTATAGTATCCTGCAGTGAAACATGAAATTTTGCCCTTTTTCTTAAACTACATGAACTTTTGCTTTTGTTTTTTATATTCCAAACTCCGAAACCAAACAAATTGACTCAAACCATTTAAATTACCTCACTCCCCGTAGTCATTCCCATAGTGATTTTGTCATTTTTAAATAAAACTTTTGGTAAAAACTAGATAAGGTTTTTAAACCAAAAAATATCTATATAAACTCAAAAGTTACAAGAAAAATCGCAGATAGATTGGGACACTATAAACCAAAATAAATTGTTTAGAGTTTTTGAAAATATATGTGGAAGTTTAAGTAATTAGATTTAGCTCTAAAAATATGAAAAATCTCTAAAAGATATGAAAAACTCTAAAAAATTATAATAAATGTCTAAGCAAGTTTAAAAAAATTCACAACAAAAGCATAATATGCAAGCATGATGAATGCACACCACATTAATGTATGTTACATTCATATTGTTTGCATCTCATATTTTTGTTGGGAAAATTTTGAAAACGCGTCTAGACATTGATTATGATGTTTTGTGATTTTTTCCCATTTTAAGCTAAATCTAATTTTAAAAAGCTTATAGATATATTTTCATTATTTAAAAATATTTTATTTGGGTTTCTCATGTCTCAATCGATGTTTAGATTTTTTTTTCTCAAATTTTTTTAGAAACCTTATTATTAAGTGTTTATTAGGATTTTTTTATGATCAAAGCTTCTTGGAAAACGCTTCTAATCTAACTGGTGTAGGGAGGTAACTTAAGCACTTTTAAGAATTGATTGAGGAAGACATTTTGCTGGGCTTTACACTTCGAGAAGGAAACTTGGACTTCGATGATAGCTTTTTTAGAGATAGTAGCTTAGAGCATCTTCAACAACTTTAGAAAAACTATTATCGTAGTACGTTATGTTCCTAAACTCACTATCTAAATCATCATTTAGAATTTTTTTTAAAAAATCGCTATCTATATCTTTTCACCCTCCAACAACTTTTCTAATCTTGTGTGCCCTCTAGAGAGCTAGCCCGCTCTCCATCTTTGGCTAGTGAGAAAATTAGAATAAAAGATAACAATATTTAGAAATCTAATTAAAGAAGCTATTAGAGAGTTTTTTTTTTTTTGGCTGCCAAACTCTCCATTCCTATCAATTACAAAGGAGATATGGTAGGCCAGGGCTCTGGACATCTTATGGGCCTAGGTACGCAGCAGCAAAACAGTCTGTCAGCCCATGTATCTCAACCGCATTTTCTCAAAAAAAAATGTATCTCAACCGCAAAAAAAAAAAAAAAAAGGAAAAGAAAAAAAAAAAAAAAGGCCGCAATATCGATAGTGAGATTAGGTTGAGAGTCGTTGGTCAGAAAGCAACCAATTTGCCTCTCCGTTACCTCCACTTCCTCGTCGACGCCTCCGGTCCACCAACTATGCCGGCGGCCATGGCGGCTGCGGCGGCGCAGAGGCTCCTCGCGGCGAGTACGAAAATCATCGGCGTTGGGCGCAACTACGTAGCCCACGCCAAGGAGCTCGGCAACCCGGTCCCCAAGGTGCGGTCCGCGCGCCTTCCATCCTCGATCCCAAAATGCTGCCGCGCTTCCAACTTCCCTCCCCTCCTTCCCGCGCGACCCTCTGGTTTTGATCTCGCTTGTGTTTGGGTGTGTTGCAGGAGCCCGTCCTGTTCCTGAAGCCGACCTCGTCGTTCCTCCACGCTGGTGTGGCTACCGCCGCCGTGGAGATCCCGGAGCCGCTCGAATCGCTACACCACGAGGTCGAGCTCGCAGTCGTCATCTCCCGGCGCGGACGCGACCTTCCTGAGGCGTCCGCCATGGACTTCGTCGGAGGTAATTTGAGAATTGCGTCACAAGGAGTGACCTGATCTGAGATAATTAACGATGGAGCCATAGTAAGACTTTATATTCTCATTTATAGAGAAAAAATTCGTGTGTTTGCAAAGTGTACTAAAAAATTCCTATGGTTTCATTGTTCAGAAAGATCAATTAGGATTCTAGGGAAACAACTATTTAGGATCATTGAGAGTTATTTCGGCCTTACTGCTTTATTGTGAAAACTGACAAGGAGTGATGGCAGCTTGAAACAGATGGATTTTAGCAATTCTAGCTTCGTCTGATAAGCTTTGTGGAAAGTGCAAGCGAGCAATTTAACAGTTAGAATTGCCAAGGCAAACTCATGCTCATTTGATGATGGTTATTTCATAGGCAGGAATACGAAAGTATGTTTCATGGCATATAGAAATACAAAACTGTTTGTATATGTTCTCTTCATCATTATTGAACTTGAGTTAAGGTTACAATATCTAGTCTCCTTTGTGTTTACCTCATTCTTTTTTGTGCTTTTTGAATTGATCAGTTTAAAGCGTTTGTTGGAGACAAACTAAATATGATATAACTGCTTGCGTCATTCAATTTGCCAGGTTATGCACTTGCTTTGGACATGACAGCAAGGGACCTTCAATCTGTTGCTAAGGTGAGTTCTACCTTCTGTAGTTTTCCTGTGTCTCAGTACTACTTGTTCAATTATTGTTGTTGTAGTGTCATCTGTAATCTCTAGTTGTCGTTGAATGTTATGTACGATACAAGCATTCGATTTACTACATAAGAAAATTCAGTAACTAACTTTGCAATTTAGTCTCATGAGTGGATCTTCTCCATGATCATATCTATTGACGAATAGCAAAGAGTCAGATGCTTTTAGTCGAGCTAGCTACTGTCTCCATCCATCTAGCATATTTCATTCATTTCACATAACGTTTTTTTTTCAATATATCTTGGTGTACAAATCTGGTAGCATTAATTGGCTGCCAAGACCTTAAGTAGACTCAATCTCTTGATGTTTTTTATTCAAAAGAACTATATCATTAATTTGCTTATCATATTCACCATCTACTAATTTGCAGTCTGCAGGCCTTCCATGGACTTTGGCTAAAGGACAAGACACCTTCACTCCAATTAGTGCAGTAGTAAGCAATGGTTTTTCTTCATGTGCTTGGAGTTGGTTGGTGGTGGCTCAGTACAGTATGTTTTATTTATTTGTATTCGCTTGTTATAGTTGCACCTCAACGAATCAATGCCATATTCAAGTGAGTCAGTGCAGAAGTGTTGTTAGATAGAGACACTTCATCTTTGTTGCCTTCCGTGCTCTCCACAGGCATCTAGTGACATGAAATGTGTAATCTCATCAGTGTGACACCATGTTTTTACTTCAGTTAATGATAATTTCTCCATCAATCAGGTTCCAAAATCGGCCGTCACTAATCCTGATGATCTCGAGCTCTGGCTAAAGGTATCTCTGCAAATATGTACTGAATTTGTTTAATGTTGCCTGAAGTGATAGAGCATATGGTGTACAATTGACTACCAACTGTATCCAGGTAGATGATGAACTAAGGCAGAAAGGATCGACAAGTGATATGATATTCAAGATTCCTTTTCTGATCAGCTATATCAGTTCCATCATGACATTAATGGAGGGTGATGTGATACTGACAGGTAGTGACATTTTCTCTATGTGCAGCTTGTTTTTGCGCATCTGAGGTTTCTCTGTGGCTTATTCATTTGTTCCTCAACAGGTACTCCTGAGGGTGTGGGTCCTGTCCGAGTAGGTCAGAAGATCACAGCTGGTATAACTGACCTAATTGATGTCGAGTTCGATGTTCAGAGGCGCAATCGGTCATTTTCCACATGATGCAATAAGCAAGAAAGTGATGGTAAGCAACAAGTATTGGGAACATATGAGCCGGAGCCAGAACTGTTTTTTCTAAAAATAAGATGATACATAAGGCTGCATGCTTTCAATTGTTTTGTGACTAAAAATAATATCAGGTAATTTATTTCATAAAACAAACCTGTTTACCTGTAGCAAGGTCAATATGATCAGAAAGGGCAGCATATTCATGTTCGAGGAAATTCTTGGAAATGTACTCCAATCGGACAGCCAGGTGGTGTATATGTATAGGGTATAAGGGCCAATATGCCAAAACTGTGCCAAAGCTACGTTGTCCTACTCCACATTCTGACATATACATAGCAATCAAAACCTGAAGTATATGAACTACTCCTTAGTTAGAAGCTGTGCTATATGAACTATTGTTACCCTGATTGAAAAAAAAGCTCGCTTTCTGCATGCAACAACAACAAAAATTATCACAATTTTTTCCCTGCCCTGCTGCGGGAATACTGCAGCAGCGATTTGAAACAGCTTCCGAGTGCTGTGCATTGCCGATGAAATACACTCAAACGAGTGCGTGCCTTGCAGCGCAGAACAAATAAGGTTTTACTTTTACCAAGTGTTTAACAACCATTTGGTGTCACTGAATGTAGTTGAGATGACAACGATGGATATAAGGGAATTGAATGAGGGGTGGAACTTGATATTATTTCTCTATAACGTTCTTCATAGTGCCCCGGAGTTTCATCTTGAGGATCACTGGTACTCAATTCAGACCCTCTCAGTCTCATACTTCTCATTCTCAGGCCTTTCCCCCTTGACTAAGGACCCCAACGCCCTTAGGGCCGTAAACCTAACTCTATTTGCCCGTACAATCGCATTGTATATTCCCAAGCATTTCTTCTTAAAGAACTTGCCTGCAAACTTGGGTGCCTCAGATACCAATTTTGATAGCTCATTATCTCACAAAATCTAAAAGCAAAACACTTAGCTCATTAGTTGCATGTCTTTCCCTCAAACGAACATCAAGCAGTTAAGAACACATTTGCAATGCTTTATGCCTTTATGTTTACCTCATCATATTCAAATTCTTCTTCAGGGTAACATATAACCTTGAGAGCAGACACAAGTTTCAGAGCATCCCAATTTTCATCGTCGATTCCAGATACCTCCTTAGGATACTAGCAGAGCGTTTCAAGGTTTCATCATGTCTGTTCTCACAACGGTTGCATTCATACAAGGCGTATGCCATCTCAATGATATCTGTGTTTATCTACTGTCGGTGTTTTGTAAACCAACGAGTGAATTTATGTGTGTCACGATGCTTTAGGAAGACGATGGTAGCACTCAAAGACATAAGAAATTATACTGGTTCAGACCGGAGCTCTACGTCCAGTCTCAGAGATGATTGCGAGTTCATGTTCCTCGGTTCAAGTGCTCTAAAGTCTTACAATAGGGTGTGTAAGCTAAGGGAATAGGGTAGGAGGAGTGAGGTGAACGAAAGCCCGAATGAAGTCTCAAGAGTTTGTCCCTTTGGAAGGGAGGCCTAGCTGCCCTTATATAGAGTTCAGGGGCCAGGTTACATGTAGAGAGAAGGCATCTGCCGACCTGAGTGGCCGAGAGCCCGAGGGAGGGAGAAACGAGTAAACTTGGCCGGCAATCCATCCTGTCTTGTCTTGGCGTATCGTACGTTCAGGCATGGTCACAGTCGTGGTTGCCGTGGTCTTGCTCCCACGTCGCGGCGTGGCGTGGCGTGGTGCTACAGTGCCGGTCGTGACGGCACTGTTGGCACGGTGGTGGTTCACCAATTGTCTTGCGCGACGTGGTCTTGTTGTGGCCTTCGTCATCGTCTCCTGTTCTCCCGGTGGCATCGTGGCGACAGTGAGGGAGCAAGTGGCCACTCTCGGGTCGTCGGTCGCCTTTCCTGGTCCTCAACCCTGGTTGGCCAGGTCGAGGCCCCCGGCGGTCTGGTCGGTCTTGTGAAGTCAAGGCCGGGGTTATGCGACCCATCCCGTAGTGGGTGGGGCCGTACGCCCGTCCCATCGGGCTGAGTTTGGACGGCGCAGCGCCGTACCGGTCGTCATCGCCCCGTGGTGTAGTCTTGTCTGCGCAGGGATGGCGTCTATCCCAAGATGGCTGTCCTCTCCGCCCCGGCGGGGCGAGTGGAGCGTGCTTGTCCCTGTCAAGACAGGTGTACTTGATGGCGTCCGGCCTTTCCCCATCCCCTCGCAGGGGTCGAGACGGGGAAGAGATCCGGCGCGGCTACGTAGCGTGCGACAGGAGTAGGGAAAGGTCGCGGTGGACCGCTCGTCTTGGTGTCCGGCCCAAGGCCTGCGTGGCTTAAGTGGACTGCAGTTGATGCGCCTTGGCTAGTCAGGCCGTCCGAGAGGCTAACTATTCGGTATCTTGATCCCGACACCTACATACAAGGAGTTAAGTGGAAATACACAAAGGGCAGAGTTTTCTGTATAAATACTGCAACAATAACCGTTGTAAGTGGAAATTAATAAAAAGGCGCAAAATATTGGGAAGTGTGAAGTAAGCAAGCAATAAAGCAGGACTCGCTGTCTCTGGTTTGACATCAAAGCCATAACACCCAAGGATAATCTTAAGAGAGGATGGGATGCAAAAGTCAGGTCGAGAATCGAGATCCAGGTTGCAGAAACGCCGGCCGAGAAGAAAAGGTCGCAAAAGCTCGGAAAATGAGACGCCGGCGACGGCGACGGTGGTTGTGCTACAACAAAGAGCTCCTCGGCTGCTCCTGCTTCTTGCGGTCGTCTTCCTCTGTTCTTGCAGTTCTAAACCGGTGTCGGTTTAATCTCTCCTTGCCGATCGTGGATTGGAAAAAAAAGTAACGGGAATGTGAGACATTTCAGCATGCAAAGGACTTGCCGCAAGAATTGTCGCCCCGTGAGCCAGATAGATGCAGTCTTTTATGAAACTCTTATATTTTACTCACTCCGTTTTAAATTATAAGTCGCTTTGACTTTTTTTATTCATCCATTTTACTATATATCTAGACATAATATTATATCTAGATGCATAGTAAAATGAATGTATCAAAAAAGTCAAATCTAACTTTTAATTTAGAACTGGAGTATTTTACGGTTATATGTATATAATATGTATACACGCACGTGCATAATAAATGTTGTTACAAAATGCCTTCCACTTGCTTAAAACGATATGCAGATGGAATAAAACAAAAGGTTGATGGACAAAGACGACAAACACCTTCCTTCCCTCCCTCCCTTCCTCGCTCTTTTCTCCAAAATGTATCATCTTCAGTTCTTCATGCCATGCATAATAGATAGATCCGTAGCACTATTTTACAAGAGTTCCCAGACCATTTGAGTTCTGTACAGGAGTCATCAGTCTTCACATCTTTGAAACTCTTAGTGGCTGCGGAACACCAGCTTCGAACTTCTTGATGTAGTCATGGATGTGCTCACTGATTTCCTGCGCCCTTTCCTGCTGGATGAAGTGCCCAGCGCCTTTGATGACCACCACCTCCTCAAGCAACGGCACGTCCCTCTTGAACCCGCCCTTGTGGATGTAGCTCTTCACTCCTGGGTGATGGTATGCCAGGTCACCGTCCCCAACGATGAACTTAGTCGGCACTTGCACCTTTGCTCTTGTCCATGGCGCCATCAGTTCCCAGTTCCTGTGCACACATGTCAGCCAGATGTAACTAATTTATGATGCATGCGTGATGCAGCGAGAAGATGATGATGCATGATGCAATCACCCATTCTTCTTGGTTAATGAGTGGTGTCAAAGGAGTTGAAATTTAACCTAGCACCAAAATTATATGTTGTTCAAAAGGCTAAACTATTCAAATCAAAGTTTCATGTTTCTCTCCATGAAATTCAAAAATCTAATTTTGGAAGAAAAATGAAAGAAACATTTCCAACATCTTTGCAAACATTGATGTAGATTTCCAGCAACCTCCTCATATTTCATATTCAATTGTGGTTTATGACTTCATGTTTCTGTGAGATTCTGCTTTCTATGCTAAAAACAAGTGATGCCACTATCTTTGAAACATTCGGATGTGATAATTCCTATGTTCACAATGACTGCACTAACATAGCAGTGGCATGATATTGGAGAATGATTGATACAAAGCAATAAATGATACAAAGAAAGTCAGTCCAACACATCCAACTCACAAGGCAAATTGAAATGAAAATGAAACAAAAAAAAAAAACATACGTGTCTCTGTTTCAGGTTTCTATTCTATTGAGCACATAAAACCTAAAGGAATGTTCTCTGCACCCAGTGCCCTTTTTTATTCTAATAAAATCGCTCAGCAAATCTCTTGCTGAGTTTTTTCGAAAAAAACAAAGAGTTACCATTAAAAGCAATATGTAGCAATCTGAAGCTCTACACTGCATCTTAATTCTACTGAGGCCCGTGTGTTACATGAAAAACTATATTCCGTGTGGAAACAGGTGATGCTGATGGGGTTTAGATGTTTGGTGTGTGCAAAAAGGTTTTTGGAAAACACGACATAAAAGAATTCAGGAGATCATGACTTGATTACACAACAACAACAACATAGCCTTTCAGTCCCAAGCAAGTTGGAGTAGGTTAGAGTTGAAACCCACAAGAGCCCTAAGTCATAGTTCAGGCACTTCAATAGCTGTTTTCCAAGCACTCTTGTTCAAACATAGATCTCTAGGTATATCCCAAGCTTTCAAAACTCTTTTTATTACCTCCCTCACGTCAATTTCGGTCTTCCTCTACCTCTCCTCATATTATTAGCTTGGCTTAGGACTCCACAATGCACTGGTGCTTCTGGAGGTCTCCTTTGGACATGGCCAAATCACATCAACCGATGTTGGACAAGCTTTTCTTCAATTGGTGCTACCCCTAGGTGATCACGTATATCATCGTTCCGAACTCAGTCCATTCTTGTGTGACCACAAATCCATCGCAACATACGCATTTCTGCAACACTCAGTTGTTGAACATGTCGAATCTTTGTAGGCCAACATTCTGCTCCATACAACATAGCCGGTCTAATCGCCGTTCTATAAAACTTACCTTTTAACTTTTGTGGTACCCTCTTGTCACAGAGAATTCCAGAAGCTTGTCGCCACTTGATCCACCCTGATTTGATTCTATGGCTAACGTCCGCATCAATATCTCCATCCATCTGTAGCATCGATCCCAGCTTATGCACTACTTGACCTTCCAAACTCACATCTCCCTCCTCCTGTGCAGCTCCGCCAAAGTCGCATCTCATGTATTCAGTTTTAGTTCTGCTCAATATAAAACCTTTAGACTCAAGGGTCTGCCGCCATAACTCTAGTTTTCTATTTATTCCCGCCTGGCTTTCGTCCACTAACACAACATCATCAGCGAACAACATACACCAAGGGATATCCCCTTGCATGTTCCTGATAACCTCATCCATTACCAAGGCAAAGAGATACGGGATTTAGGCTGACCCTTGATGAAGTCCAATTCTAATCGGGAAGTAATATGTGTTACCATCGTTTGTTCGAACACTAGTAACAACATTGTTATACATGTCCTTGATGAGGGTCACGTACTTTGATGGGACTTTATGTTTGTCCAAAGCCCACCACATAACATTTCTTGTGGTGGTCGCTTATGAAATTTAATGAATTTTCAGGACATCATGATTTGATTTCGCGCTTATGAATATAAATTGGTTGCGAACTTACAGGTCCAAGCAGCGGTAGTAATTTACTCCACCAGCAAATCCAGTTTTTGAGTACACACTTGCAAGGTAACTGATATCTTCCTCGGAGAGCCAAGAAGGTAGCTCTATTTGCTTACTGTATGTTTGCATTTTTCTAAGGTCCATAACTGAAGAACCTGTGGCCCGAAGAGTCAATGCCAATTTGAAGAAACTCTTCAAGTCAAAAGCAGTGAATTCTGCTTCATGTCCAGGTTCCTGCCAATCAATGTGACACTTTAAATGTATGTATTCAATAGTATCACTAGTATGATTCTTCATTAGGTTCAAAACATGGAGGTCATATAGACAAATATGATCCCAACTTTTGCAACTAGTCCGCGCAGGTGTCATAAATTGCTGGTAAATAACTCACATACCATAGAACAAGAGATTGACTAGTAACTCAGAAAAGAGTAATATTATTACCCAACTATGAAGAAATCTCAAAGAAAGAGAACTAGTTACAACAGAAGTATACTGTATACCACCAAAGAAGAAAATTTGTACATACATTTTAGGCTACACTTCTAGAAGATCAATTGATGGGAAACTCCAATGTGTGAACATAGAATTGTGCATCAAACTGAAGGACACATGTGAGCACCACTTGGGGCTTCGGTTTGGACTGTTTTGAGCATCATCATATATGTATGATTCAGTGAATCAACACAATGTGACCGATTGAACTCCACAAGCCCATGTGCGCTTGTGTGAGAACTGAGTAACCCATTGGCTTTTGGATCACAGCTGAGTAATTCTTTTTTATTATTAATTAAGTTCACCAGGGGGAGAGGATCCCCACTTGAATGTATATATTGATTCTGAGTAATCTTATCACTTCTATCCTCTTTACATTAGCAAACCATATAGACATAGCCCCTTCATATTAGAATTGCAATAAGAAATGACAATCTGCGAACTGAGTACTCTTATCACTTTTTTTTGGAAGAATTAGCAGGAGCACTGCTATATCATATAAGACGGAAGCAAACCAGTTACAACAATTTGGTTCCTCTTATCACTTTTATCCTCTTCTTTACAAGGAACCCATATAGACATAGCCCCTTCGTATTAGAATTGCAATAAGAAATGACACTCTAACCCAATGGCATCTCACATCTCCTCCAACGTTGGGGAAGCCCAACACAAGGACCATACCGGAAAATGCGCAAATGATAACTGTGTACCAAAATACGTTCCAATTCAAACAGACTGCCAACCAATCTGTGGATGCCTAAAATTCGCAAAACCAATGTGTGGATGCCTAAAATTCGCAAAAGCAACCTTTCTTCAGTCTATCGGTTACTGATGATTAGGTGGAAGTGGCACATCCAAAGGACGATAGGAGAAACAATTGCTCACCTGGAATCGGCAGACGTAATAGTCATCGCCGTATGCGGCGCGGAAGTACTCAAGAGGCTTGACGCCGGGGCGCCGGGGCATGAAGGCGACGCTGAGGTTGACGAGCGCGCGCACCCGATCCGGCCGCAGCAGGCAGAGGTTCCACGACACGATGGCTCCCCAGTCGTGACCCACAACGAACACCTGCACCCCAGAGATCCCAACACATGTGGCGAATTTTCGACAAGCTTTGGTGGGGAACTCGATTCGACGGGGAACGGAGCTGCGCGCGGGTACCTGCGGTAGGTGGAGGGCGTCGAGGAGCGCGACGAGGTCGCCGACGATGTGGAAGACGGTGTAGGAGGTCGGCTCCGGCGGCGCGGTGGTGCCGCCGTAGCCCCGGAGGTCGGGCGCGACGCAGCGGTAGCCGCGCGCGGCGAGGTAGCCCATCTGGTGGCGCCACGAGTACCAGAGCTCCGGGAAGCCGTGCACGAACAGCACCGCCGGCGCGGAGGCGTCCACGGGGCCGGCCTCCGCCACGTGCATCGAGATGCCGTTGGCCTCCAGCTGCCGGTGCCTCACCGCAGCCATGGCGTGTCGGCGTCGTGCTCCGCGGGTCCGCGCCGCTGCTGTTGACTGGGAGGGGAGAGCGGGGACCGGTGCGAGTGATCGAGACGTGTCCGCCGGAACCATATGGGTTGGTCCAAACGCAAACTGGGCCAGGCCCAATTGATCGGATTGCACAGCCTGTTTGTGTTTACTGGCAGACGCGTGGGGTACTCTGTTTGCTTGATTTTATCTGCTGCCTACTTGTCACATGGCTGCCGCACAAAATGCAAATACTCCATATAATATAATCACGATAATATATACTAGCAGCATGCAGCTTGATTACTTGGTACTGAAGCTGAATCCGAGCAGGTTAGTTAGCTTTTTGCTCGGAACTGAAGCTTTCTTGCTTGCCTGCAATTGATAATGAGATCGATTAGGCCTGTGCATTTCAATCAATTTCGAAACACATTCATGGTTTATTCATTTCACATCGATCATACCATGACTTGGAATAAGTCACTCCATATCGTAGTCACAAATACTTAAACCAAATACTGTGCATACACTTATTGTTAATTTAAATTCAAAATACAAAACAAGTTGGCAACATGAGGTTGATTTCAGTTTTCAGCAGACACAGCCAAGCTGATTGCTGATGATGGTCGTCGATCCATCAGAATTCAGAACTTGGAGATGAAGTCGTAGATATGCTGGCTGACCTCGTCGGCCTTCTCCTGCTGGACGAAGTGTCCGGCGCCGGGGATGACGACGACGCTGTCGAGCCCCGGGACGTCGGCCTGGAACCCGCCCTTGTGGATGTAGTCCTGGATGCCCGTGTAGTGGTAGGTGAGGTCGCCGTCGCCGACGATGAACCTGGTGGGCACCTCCACCTTGGCGTCCGCCCACGGCGCCGCCAGCTCCCAGTTCCGGTCCATGTTGCGGTAGTAGTTGATGGGCCCCGTGAAGCCCGTCCGCTCGAACTCCGACGCGAAGTGCCCCACGTCCTCCTCCGTCAGCCACGGCGGCAGCGGCTCCTCGTCCGCCGGCTTCTCGCCGCCTACCGCCGAGGAGGTGAAGCGGTTGCACAGGATCTGCTTCATCAGGTACCGGGCGTTCGCCGGCGAGAACTCCTTCTCGGCGACACCAGGCTCCTGCATGCACCGTATGTACGTGCAACATAAAAGTTGTTGAATTCAGCAGTGTGTTGCCGTCTTGCCGACACAAAGCAAATAAAAAGGAAGGATGTGAGACAAAATTTGGAAGCCGCGATGGAAGGATCCTCCATCCATATGCATGCAAATCGACGTCGTCCCCGCGTGATGTGATTTTGTTCCTCTATCCCTCCTTCTATAAATGTCACCGACGACGACAACGACACCAACACACCAGCGCCGCACAGACCGCACAGGCACAACAGTACGACAAGCAATGGCGCCGATCATCCTCCGCATGGACGTGCACTGCTACGGCTGCGCCGGCAAGATCCGCAGGGTCGTCAAGAACCTCCTCGGTACGCCCCCTTCCCGGCCGGCCGACCAGTCGTCGCCGATGAGTAGCTCGCATCGACATCGCATTCGCTTTCATTCAACTCCATAGAGATGGATTTCATTAGCATAACACCTTGGTCGTCGCCGATCGCCGGACCACCATGCGTGAGTGCGTGCAGGGGTGGAGGAGGTGTGGGTGTCGGTGGACACGGGGCTGGTGGTGGTGGCCGGGACGGCGCTGGACGCCTCGCTGCTGCGGTGGCGGATCCAGACCAGGACGCGGAGGCCCGTCACCGTCGTCAGCGACGGCGCGGACCCGGAGCCGCCGCAGCCGCAGTACCAGTACGCCGCGCCGCCGCCGGGGTACCCGCAACACTACCACTACAGAGGGACGATGCAGTACATGGGCCCGCCGCCTTCGGCGGCGGCGGCTGGGTACCCGCGCCCGCGCCGCAGCACCTGCTCCAGTACGTGCCGACGACGACTTGGGACGGCTACTTCCCCTCGCGCCAGTACGTGCCCAACCAGGCCCCCGTCTGCTTCAACGACGACAACCCCAACGGCTGCTGCGCCGTGCAGTGAGCCAGCGATCTATCGGCGCCGGCGGCCGGCCGGATGACAACAGCGGCATATGTTTGGAGCGAGCGAGTTTTTGTCATGCATGCTCATCACACATACCGGGATCTTCTGTAGTTTAATTATTCGTCCAGTTATCTTTCGCAATTTTCGTCATGGTCGTCGTCGATCGTGTCCGTGTATCTGGGGCCGATCAGTAGTCAGTCGCACGTGTCTTTTTCTATCGTGTGCGCGTGGAGTCAGCGATGGCCAATCAGCCTGTTTGATTAGAACAGTATTTTTCTCTCTAGTACTAAATCAACCAGCAGTAATAATCCACGATCGTTTCAGCCGAAACGAACAGGTTGAGTAAGTCTACCGCAGGGTTCATTTTGACTGCCCTGCTGGTTACTATTATTATTTATATATATTCCCGGTATGAATAATAATGATTTGTTTACGTGTACAAACAATATATAAAACAAAGTTTGTTTGCTTATCATTGTTCATCCAAGTTCTTAATTTGGCGTGTCTGAGTAGACTGAGCTGTCCTAGTTTCTTTAATTTGCACCAATGCAATGTAATAATGCAAGCTAGCTGCGTACTGGACGAGCTGTCCTAGTTTCTACTTTATTTCTAGCTAGCAAAGGCACCTCCGATCCGGACTGCGACGACAGCGACGTTGTGGATTGATCTCCCTAGTCCCTAGCGCTGCACCTTATGTGCGATGACATGTGCGCACACACCATCCAAGTCCATGCCGTCGTCACACGCTCAGTCCTAGCTCATCAGTCCAATAGTCCATGTGTATTGAAATGAATCGTGATAAAGCTTAGTTTAATTTTCATAACAATAGTCCATGTGTATTGAAGTGAATTGCGGTAAAACTCAGTTCAGTTTCCATAACAATAATCTATGCGTATTGAAGTGAATTGTGTAAACTCAATTTAATTTCTATAACAATATGATGAATTGAGATGCGGACGAGTAATATTATCCAAACAAACCCTAACTTCCTAAATAGGTGGCCTATATGCATGCAAATTGTCGGTGCAGAAGATATTTGGTTTAAACTTTACGTAATCTGAGGCTACAACCCATAATAGAAATTGAAATTTCCAAAACTAGTTTGATAAACGCCATTTTAAAAAAATGGAACAAGGAAATTTGGGACGTGCATAGTGTGTATATGGTAATATATATTGAAGTTGAAAGGTGAGTATAGTCGTCGGGTATCACGCGGTGATTGTTGTTCTAGATTGTAAAGATTCTTTTATTTTCTACGGCTAATAACTACTACTACTAAACATCTTGATCGCTTTAATTCATCCCCGAAAGCGAAATAAATTTTTTTTTACCAAACCACGTGTATAGCCGGTACGTGCTGTACGTACTACGTACTAAGGTAGAGATGCATGCAGAGCACTGCACGGTACGTAATTATTAGTTGTAGAGCGGTAATGTAGACAAGTAAGTAGTAGGGACGATATCGATATTACTACGTATAGTGTACACGTACACACCTGGAAGCGGCAGATGTAGTAGGTGGGCCCGTAGTTGCCGTGGAAGAAGTCGGTGGGCTTGACGGCGGCGGCGCCGGCGCGGATGAAGACGTGGCGCATGAATGCGACGCTGGTGTTGACGAGCGCCGTCACCCGGTCCGGCCGGAACACGCACAGGTACCACGCGATGATGGCGCCCCAGTCGTGACCCACCACGAACACCTGCTTCACCGTCACCATATCACCATGTGCATGCATCAGTGATTCCGGGCACACCACGCCATGTCATGCATCACTTCATTCATTCGTCCACATGCATGCAGTGTGATGCAACCACCAGGCTAAAAGCATCTATCCGTGCAGAAACGAAACGAAATCAAATCAAAGGCCACGGCTGATGAGTCGCCATGACTGGCCTTGAGATCGATCGATGCAGTACTGTACTATACTGCCAGGACCACTGGTAGAGTAGATTAGTACTTCGAGGTGCGGTTTCAACGAATATTGATTAGCGAGATCATATGGACAATATTTTTCATGTGTTTTTTTTGGCGTTTCCAACACAGCCTATCCTAGTGGCCGGTATGTATACGTACGTACGTATGTATACACACCGTACTTAGGCCCATCTTTGTTCGTTTTCAAAATAGAAATAATGACCCCTGAATGGAAAAGTTGGGTTCACATCATCGAACGGAGCTATCTAGCGCGCTCCGGACCAAACATAGTGCATATTATATTATGATGAAAAAAAAGGACTCCAATCTATGTGCAGAAATGTACACTTCACCAAACAGCACACAGCATAGCTAGGTAGGTACATATACATATGTCCCTGCGTTTAATATAAAAAAAGTAGAGTAACAGTCCAATTAGGGTAGCTATCTGTTGTGTCATGCATATGTTAGGGGGTATTTGGCAGGCTCTTTATGAGAGGGTCCTCCGAAGGAGCTGGAGCCATTTTGTAAGAGTTATAAACAGCTCTGATTTCTCTGTTTTTCACTGAAAAACGGTTCTTCCTACAAAATGTTTGGTAGGGCTTCTCCGGAGCCGAGCAGGAGCCCTACCAAACAGGCTGACAGGGCTTCTTCTTGGCTCCGGCTCTGGCTCCTCCAGAGGAGCTCTGCCAAAGATGAGTCGTTTTTTTGTAAAAAAACAGAGGAGCCGGAGCCATTTTGAAAAAGCCACAATTTGTAGCTCCTTTAAAACGGCTCTGGCTCCTCCGGAGGAGCCCTCAAGAGGAGCTATGCCAAACACCCCCTTAGTTGATTACATATCCTCCGGAGCCCTCATGAGGAGCTATGCTAAACACCCCCTTAGTTGATTACATATATGCACACGTTAAGTTGACGCTAAGATAGGACTGTATATATATAATCACAACATGCGTATTTTTATTCCGGGAAAAATGTATGTACCATGTGTATGTTTATAGGAGAAGAGAGCAGAGCAGGTGGGTAGCAACACACATCGTATATCATTATCATAAAATACGTGCTAAGCACGTTATTGAAAAAAAAAATCACTATCATACGTTGACTGATATATTATTATCGGATGGCTATGGCTTTCCGTCCAAATCTGCTCATGTAAATGCTATCCCATCATCCAGGATAAATATAAAATTAAAAGTTCATTGACCTAGTTTGATGACTCGCTTCAAAATTAGCCTAACCAGACTGCATAGAGCATTAATTGTTTCTAAAAATTAAAACTCTCTGATTTTAAACTAAAAAATTAAGATTATCTCCGGTCGTTAACCTCGGTATAAAGTTGGACCATATTCGTCCGAAAAAGCACATAAAACTATATAATTAATAAGAACATATCAATTTTAAAGAAAACTACCGCGGGCTAGAGTAAAAAGAAAGTTGTGGTGGCTCGTTGCCCGCCTCTGGATTTCCACACGGTGGTGTTAGAATTGAGGTCCGGATTTCTGTGCCGGCACGTCGCCCGGCCGGTTCCGGATCAGAAACTCGTGGAAATGGAAGGATCGGAAGGCACGGCCAGTATGTACACACAAGAAGTCCACTTTGAGACGGAAGGACGGACGGGACGTACCTTTTGGATGCCGAGCGCGTCGAGCAGCGCGACGACGTCGCCGACGACGTGGAAGGCGGAGTAGGACGCGACGTCGGGCGGCGCGGCGGTGCCGCCGTAGCCGCGGAGGTCGGGCGCCACGCAGCGGTAGCCCCGCGCGGCCAGGTGCGCCATCTGGTGGCGCCACGAGTACCAGAGCTCCGGGAAGCCGTGCAGGAACACCACCGCGGGGTCCCCTTCCGCGCCCGACTCCGCCACGTGCATCGAGATGCCGTTCGCCTCCACCGTCCGGTGCCGGATCGCCGCCGCCTCCGCCATGCTCGCCGGCCTCGCCGTCGTCGCCCGCAGCAGCCGCCGCGCCGGCTGGTTATCTAGCTAGCTTGTCTCCCTCGGCTCACGTACTGCGCACGTCGTCGCTCTCGCTGCCCCTGCTAGCTCCCGTCCCGGCTGCTGGTCTGTCCGCTGCTACTTATCGGCAGGCGGCTCCGTCCGTCCCGCTGGTTTCTGCTTAATTGGCAACTGGCAAGCTGTGCGGCCGTGCGGATATATGCGGAATCAAACGAGAGACGTGCACGCACGCGACGCGAGTGTGAACTGTGAACCGGAGGCGGAGGGGGCGGTTCGGTTGGAGGGTCAACTTCTTCTTGTTCGTGCAGCTGCCGTGACGGTGACGTGGGATGTGACGCATCATGGGGGTACGGTACGGTGGCGAGTTCCGGCGGGCGGGCGAGCGAGCACACACGTGGATGTCATGGGCGCAAACGCATTCAGCAACGGGCCGGAGGCAAGGCAACCACCGGCACCGGCCAGCGCCAGCGGTGGCCGGTGGGCGGCAAGATCGTCACTTGGCAGCGGGCAAGGCCCATGCAACAATGCAAGCAAGCTTGACAGTCACGGGCTCACTGTCACGTGACGGATCTAGATGAATACGGGACGGGCATCCCGATGCACGCTACAAGTGCCATGTGATGCCAGGCTCTGAGCTCGAGGTTGTTTGACTTCGAGAATATAATTTGGATCGTATGCATGCAGTGCAGATGTACAGGAAATTATATATGTGTAATACAATATATATCTATATCTATATTTATACTGTTGGCTTATGAAGAAGATTTTGAAGACAAAAGTTGCAAGAATAATTGAAGGATGGCACGAGTTCTGAAACAGGACCACGCCCTTGTGCACCGCGTTGTGCACCGCGTTCGGCTGTACTACTTTCCACTTGTTTTAGCTTATTCTCCTTCACAGGACATTATTAAACCATCCAAAATAATCCAAAATTCACGGTGCGGCCTCCCAGCCATATGTGTGGGCCTCCGGGTGGTTGTTGTTGGGGGCGCGGTTTGTCCTGCGCTTGCCTTTCTGCACGGCATGCTCAACCCGGATCGGAAATCCAGCAGCGGCCCAGTCCGTGATTTCTTCCAGTTTAATTAATTTATTATATTTATTTTCTTTCCCGGCCGGGACAGATATCGTCGTGCAGTGCTGTTCAACCCGGCCTTAACTCTTGTGTCCTGCGTGCATAGAGCCACCAATGCACAATGCAACCACATCTTTCTTTTCCAATTAGCCATTAGTGAACACATTATTCATTTCTGTAGGCAGCCGTTAAGCACATTGACTTAGCTAAGTAGCAGAGTAGTAGTAGTAGCAGCAACCATCGTGACCTCTTGAATCACCACGTCAGTACTAGCCGACATGTTGACTTATCGTTTCATTTATACACCCGTGTCTCGTGTCGCTGGTTTATTATGCTTCCGCCATTCTCCAATGTTAAACGAGCTTTACTTACTTATACTCATGCTTAATTTTCACTGGCAAACATGCCTATGTGTTGCAACGGAAAAAAACTATCAAACCTTAACGGGGAGGAACCATGGTAATGATATAGTTTCTATTTATAATTTATCCTTTCTATAAAACTTGAAATCTATAATTTATTTTATGATGACTATGATACCCACATATAACTTAATTTTGGCATTAATATGACAATGTCCTATTAAACATGTATCAAATTTAAATACAACCTTGAGAGATTTTTTTCTCCTGTTCCAAAACACACAAAAAAATAGATGTAAATATATCATAATTTTAATTTTTCATACTATCTAGGGTTGCTATAATCAAATATCAAGCTCCGTGACTTTCTTTGAGGACACATAAAAATATATAATTATAGTCGGCAAGGATTTAGTTGCCGACGTGTTAAGGATTGGTTTGTGCGTCCGTTATTATGACGGAGATCTCTCTTGATTTTTACATGGCAGTCCTTATCGATCATTCTAGAGGTACATTTATTTAGATTGAATTAGACAGCAAAACGTAAACAACAAATTGATCAAGATTTAGTTGATGGACTATTCATTTATTTAGATTTTAATGAAAACAATTTTTTTGTCATCAAAACTACGTCAACAACTTAGTGGTGAAACTCTTTTTTAGGAAAAATTAATATTGACTTTATTTATTATTTATTTTTGGCGTTTATGAAAAAATGACCACAGGCATCAAGGAACATGTGGGGAAAAAATTGGACAAAAAAACAAGCAAACCAAACAAGGAAAAAACAGGAGAAAAATTTGGAAACAGAAAACCAAACGGGGAAAACACAGAAAGCACCAGGACAGCCAAAAAAACAAATGAAAAAAGCGGAAAAATTCTTATTTTCTCTCTCTCTTGTCTATCTCGTTTCGTTTTTCCTTCTCTGCCTTATCCCGAAGACCTGATCAAGGACCTGAAGTCTCTAAAAATATCTGAGACACGAAGTCCCAAGTCTCCTCCTTTCACACGCTTTGTCGCTTCCATCTCCTCTCGACGCCTCCTCACCTCCGACCGCCCTGCGCCACAGTGCGTCTGCGCTCAGCGCCCACCCTTGCCAGAGCACGGAGGAAGAAGCACTGCCTGTGGCGCACATCTCCTCCCACCAATGCGTGGCCGGAACCCGGTGGCCCAGGTAAGAGAAGCAGTGACCGCTAAACCACTTCTCGCTCAGGTAGGCACCTCCAACGTGAACTGTCTCATGGCCTCCTTGAAACAACCCCGATTTTCATGAAGGGAAATCCACTGAGTCGAAGTGTAATAAGACCGTTGAAGATCATATTACCCGAATTCCAGTCGAATATCACAACCATACAACGTAATATCAGAGTATAAATAGTGCGGAATTACATAAATTATTACATCGCCGCATTGGCGGAATCAAAAGTAGCATTCATTCAGAACAGCTTGAAGATAGATCGCCAAACTCGAGCGTAGGAACGAACCCCTCAACCGTCAAACTCCTCGGAGCTATACTCCTCAGCAGAACCTGTGTGCCCAAAATTTATCAGTACGATTTGTACTGGCCACACCCGACCCTATGAGCATTGCTTTGTGAAAATTGGATGCAAGTTGGATATATTAAAAAGGAACCTATAAGGCTGGGGTTTCCTATGTATTAGCATATCAAGTACATTATATCAGTTGGTCAAGTTTTAACACCATTCTCACACATTCCACCCTATTCCCATTCCAGAGTCAGGTTTCGATCCTGGGATCGATACACCACCATCTCCACACCATCACCATACCACACCCATACCATCACTCAGTCGACAGGCCAACTCCCTCTCGGCACTGTCTCATGGCCCGTAGCCCATGGCTACGTCCGAACACTCACTCCCAGGGGGAGAAGAGAATGACTCATCTCGCTATCTAGTTTAAGCGAAACCCAGGAAAGGTCCATTACCGACGAGTCGGCATATGTATCGATCGATCAACCATACACTCTGCAGAGGTTTTACATAACCACAAGATCCGCCTTCCTCGCTGACCGTCGTCAACTGGGCTGATTTTGGCCGCTTGCTAGCCTAGGATAATGCCACTCTACCATTCAGCCCTGGTACACCCCAAGTCTGGTCTGGAGTGGCTGAAACTATGAATCATGAGCCGGGTCCACAAGGTCTCCATGAAGTCTCAGAAGGGTGTGGGGGAAATCCTCCGCACCCCGTACCTTCCTCACACTGTCCGCCATCAACCAAGCAGTAGTGGCAATATCCTACCAAGTAGTCCGGTCGTCCCGCACCATATAGGGCGAGTGGTACGTCAGGCTTCCCGGTGAATCTGAGTACTAGTAAGTCCTTAGGGATAACTAAGCCAGAATGTGTTCATCAGGGTTTTCATTACCGTGCCACCACAGCACCTCCACCCTGGGCTCCTTCCATCACAGGATCACACCTAGGGCCACCTCATATATCATTTACCCACCACAGGTATCCATTCCAGGGGTGCCCAGGTAGCACCCCACGGCAAGACTTGCCCCAGGCTCGTCGTTTACTCCAACTTGGTCGACACAACCCTCACCCTCCACGCACCCAAGTCACACACGCAGCACTCTCCCCAATCATCAGTTTCCTCCACACATCAATGTAGTGCAAGCGTAGTAGAAGTATTAAGTAATGAAATAGCAAGCGTGTGACTAGCCTAACAGCAGGGTGAGCAGGGGTAAGGTTGCATCAAGGTAAAGCCCATCAAGAAAGCATTCTACCATGCAAGTCCTATCATAATGTGATTATAATAAAGTAAAGCACTAGCATTTCTATTTTAGCCATGCGTAATAGGTGCTACGAGGTTGGATGGGATGTGGCACCTTCAGTGTAGTTGTCTTCGTACTCCTCATGGTACTCATGATCCTCATCCATCTGGTTCTCCTCCGAGTCTGCAAACGATTGCATTATAGTCGCGTTAGCGACGTCTATAGAATAGCACAAAGAAGCAATGAAAATTCAAAAGAGCCAAATGCACTCAAACATGGGTTCATTGCGTAGAGCTCGATTTTAGATGAATTTTGGTCCTGGTTTCATATTTTTCTGAGGTCGTATGAATTAGTTATGATTTTCCAAAGTTTAAATCATTTCTGAAAATAGAAAAGGCTGATTTAATCCTGGGCTGACACGTGTCACGCTGTGGTTGGTCCACGTGGCTTGCTGATGTCAGCATGATGTCAGCATCGCGGTTCTGAGCTGACAGGTGGGGTCCACATGACGTCATCCTCACCGACAGGTGGGGCCAGAGGCTATTGAGTCACTTACAGGTGGGTCCGGTCAAAGTCAACGGCGAGTCAATGGTCAACGGTCTTCGGTCAACGGTCAGGGTCACTGACGTGTGGGGCCAGGGCTGCTGATGTCAGCAGCTGATGTCAGCGTGATGTCACCCCGGCTGCGCTGGCTTCTGACGTGTGGGTCCCGCGTGACGTCATCATGACGTCAGCATCTGACGTGTGGGTCCAGAGTGTTTGTGCCACTGACATGTGGGGCCAGGTCAATGGTCAACGTTGA